GGCATCAGCAAGGCAGCCAGCAAGATGGCAGAAAAGGAAGCCAGGCACAGGGCTGGGAGCAAGTGAGACTCAGTAGAATTTCCATCAGGGAGGGCTCCCCCTAAGGGCGGGTGCTCGGAACTCCTATCAAGGCCACAAAGATGGCTCCAATGAAGGCTATACCCTGTCCCTGAGAGACGAACCCTAGGGAGGGGACTCCTCGCACTGGGTAATAAGAAAGCTAACTGACATCTGAAGAACACTTTGTGTCATCACATCCTAACCCACTGGAGCCTCACGATGGCCCTGTGAGGTCACATAGTTTTCCCATTTTATTGATGAAAATCAGACAACCTAAGATGTGGAACAGGACCCAACAGGCCGACTTGTGATGCATGCTGCTCCTCTTTCCTTGGTGCTGAAATGGGGAGAGGAGGGGAGGTTAGGGGAAGGGAGGGGAGGAGGAAGAGGAGAGAAGAGGCATCAGCAAGGCAGCCAGCAAGATGGCAGAAAAGGAAGCCAGGCACAGGGCTGGGAGCAGGTGAGACTCAGTAGAATTTCCATCAGGGAGGGCTCCCCCTAAGGGCGGGTGCTCGGAACTCCTATCAAGGCCAGACTACAAAGGCAAGGATGGAACAGAACACAGACACATGTGGCACAAGAGAAGGCCAAGGGGCAGAGGTGCTGCCTGTGATAAAAATAGAAACTCAGTGCCCGAAGACCCCTAGCTTGCTGAGAGGGCTGCCGGCAGCACGCTGCATTCACGCTATCCAGAACCAAGTTGGAACCAGAAGCTGGAAGGACAGCGTGGTTCTCATTATGGAAATAACCCCAGGGCAACTGCTGTGCATAGCTTGCTGAGAGGGCTGCCGGCAGCACGCTGCATTCACGCTATCCAGAACCAAGTTGGAATCAGAAGCTGGAAGGACAGCGTGGTTCTCATTATGGAAATAACCCCAGGGCAACTGCTGTGCGTACAAGGCAGGGGCTGTATTTAGTGCTCGTCCTTAGACTCACAGCCTGTGAGTGGCCTGGTAATACTTCCTTCACACCGCACCGCCTTTCCCAGAGGCCCAATTCTGTAAGGGGAGCATGTTCCCTGGTCACTCCGAAGAGAAGCAACCACAGGCCCAGCTGCCTGGGTAACCCTGACAAGAGGGAACTTGTTAATGTGCAGCTGAGCACTTACTGAGAGGCTCCCCCTGGGTTGTGGGCTGTGGGGTGTGGGGTGGCTGGAGCTTACGTCCCACGTGCTTGGGAGCTGGTCCCAAGGGTGAACAGAGGGACAAGTCAGGGAGAACCTTCACCTGGCACCACCACATGAGCACACAAAGCCCAACACTGAGCAAACACTAGGCAGTTAGTCTTTGCGTAACTCACTCCCGACACAGGAAGCCACTCAGATTCCCAGGTTCCGCAGAGAAGGAACAGTTTGTTCCCTGGGAAACATCAAGGACTTTTTTCATGAAAGGTACTTACCTACTTTTCCATCTGAATCAGAATTACTCTGAAGGGCAGTTTTGTGTGTTCTGTCAGAAAGCACGTAGCCCTGGCTGGCAGCCCTGGCCGTCCAGCACCCAGCACGGCGCGTCACTCACCAGTCTCCAGAGGCTCTGTGCAGGCATGGAGATGTTGTAGTCAATGTAGCAGGAGACCTCCTGCGAGTGCGGGCTCAGCGGGGCTGCGACATCATGCCTGGACAACCAACAAAAACGGAGCGTTGGGGGCATCCTTCCAAGTCCTCTGAGAGGCAGTGACGGTTTCTTTCACAGGGAGAAAGGCCGCTTTTCAGAAACAAAGCCAGCTCAGCCAGAAGGAAGGACACTGGGCCCCGTTAGTCACACCTACTCAAACACTGAAGAGGCGGAAACTGCATTGATCACACTTCCAGGGGAAAAGCACACACTGATGAGGAATCTTACCGGAGGTACCACCCTTCCACTGTGTGGACGATGGAACCAAGCCCCAAGGGATGGGATCACTACCATAAGAGATGGAGTTTGCTTGTGTCCCAGAACTGCCTGATGCAGAGCCATGTGCCGGCTGGCTGGTGGCACCCTGAACACAGTGCCATGCCCAGCTGGCCTGGGACCCAGCGATGTGACACTGGAAGACATAGCTGCCCTTGGCGGTGTCAACTTCAATGTTCAGCAGCACCCGTTTCCCTCCCTCAGCAATCACGTTTTGTCACACTGTGCACCAGGCACCATCTGGAGCTGCAGACCCAGCAGTGGACAGAAAGACAAAGCCTCCCACCCCTTTGGGGAGAGCAGAGCACCAGGCTATGTGAGTGCCACAAGTAAAAACAAACAGGTGGGGGAAAGCACCTGGAGACACTTCTCAATGAGCTGACGTCTTGGTTGACACCTGAATAAACGAGTGAGTGGCTATACAGAGATCTGGGCCCAAGAACATTCCAGCAGAAGGAGCAAGCGTGAAGGTCCGAGGGGACACACTCGGTCATTTGGGGGGCTCACAGGGAGGCCAGGGTGACAGGGTGGAGGCTGTCGGGAGTCACCAGGAGGACCCTGGGGTCCCCTCCCCTGTGCTGGCAGGGCACGGCAGTAGCCGTGGTTTGCTCTGCACATGGACGGAGAGCGCAGCAGGAGGGAGGATGCGCGGAGCACTCACGTGTTCAGGAGGCGAGTGGTCATGCCATGGACCAGCTGCACGATGTCCCCGTGCCGCACGGGCCTTGGAGGGTTACTCACCACCAGCTGGTGCCTATGGAGACACGGCACTGTGGGGACCCCAGCCTCACTGGGAGGGGCCAGAGCTCTGAACTCCACACCAGAGACATGTGGGATTCTGCAGCCTCCCAGTCAGTTGTCCCTAATGAGGTGAATCCGTACAAAACAAAGCACGTACATTTCATTTAACTCTTTTCTGAAGGCTGAGGTCACTTTCCATACTTCCAAAAGAGATTCCTTTTGCCTCTGTCACACTCAAGTTGCTCTGTGTTTGTCTACGAATGCTACGGTGACAAATGTACCGAGCCTGCCTGGAACATCTTCTGACAGACAGATTCTTGGTTCTGTAATCACTCAGTAACTGTACATGGAGCACCTGTGAGGTCCCAGACTCTGCACTGGGTGCTGCGCATCTGGCTGCACAAGGCACATGGGGACCTGGTGCCCACACAGTACCACAGCAAATGGAAAACACGTGATGACTCAGCAACTGCACAACAGTGGGCAGTGACAGAGGGGAGGGTGGCGGAGGAGCCCCCCGGGCACTGGCGGTGGGTGCTGTGAGCACACCAGGCAGGCTGCAGAGGGAGCCACAGCATGCAGGGACGCAGTTCCAGGGGTAACCGAAGCTCAGGAGGGAGCTGGGCAGGAGAGTGACCTGATGTAAGTCACGCTTTAAAGACCACTCTCTTGGGGGTGCGGAGGCTGGAGTGGGCAGGGCAGGAGTGGAAGCAGATCGTTAGGGGAGGCGGGGGGATATGGGACGTGGATGGTCGAGATCTCATCTAGAGGCAGAATCCACAGGACTGGATGTTGGGGGAGAGAGCGAGGAGACCTCCTCCACCTGAGGCCTCGGCAAGGTGAAGCCACTTTTGAGAGATGAGGGCTGCTTGTTTTTGTAAAAGGGGAGGATGCTGGAGGGGTGTAGGAAGAGAGGAGTTTGGAGCATGCCTGTAAAACTCCTAAGAGGAGATACCGAGCAGGCAGTTCACTGAGGATCTCACAGTCTAACACCCCTGACCTTGGACTTATTGCGCAGAGCTGGTACTAAAGGCTGCAAGGGTTTGAATGAGTTCACTGGGGGAGGGCGGGGACAGACAGGAGGGCCCAGGGCAGCCAAGGACCCCACCTGGCCAGGCCAAGAGGTGAGCTCTGCTTTGCAGTCCCGGGACCAGCACTCACCTGCCAGGATCCTTTATAATCCACCAGTTATTGACATCTTTGAAGGGGTAGCAGGTCACCTGCTGCTGGTGGGAGCTGCCTCGGCCATTCTCGTACCTGCATGAAGAAGTCAACATAGAAATGTATGTGGACGTGGGTCAGCAAAGGGGCCCACAGGCCCTTCTCCCGAGGTGTCTGCAAAGGGGGGCAGTTTTCAACAGATACTACCTAGCCAGGTGTTTTGGGGAAATAAAGATGCAACAGGTGGAGAGTCTAAATCTAACAGAGCCGGAGGACGTGAACAGAGCAGCACCAAGGTCAGGCGGAGCTGCACAGCTGATTTTTCAACAGATACTACCTAGCCAGGTGTTTTGGGGAAATAAAGATGCAACAGGTGGAGAGTGTAAATCTAACAGAGCCGGAGGACGTGAACAGAGCAGCACCAAGGTCAGGCGGAGCTGCACAGCTGATAGCGGAATGCACCAGGGCTGCTGCGCGCCAAGTGCCTCCAACTGCTTCACACACGGAAATGACAAGCTCACCGGTCATCGGGACCCAGGAGCTCAACTTCCTTTTGACCCGCAAACTTCATAGAAAGTGGAAGTTGCTAACATAAGCAAAATTGTGAGAAAAAACATCCGATAATCTTCAAATCAAAATGCTCACTTTCCTTACATCATGGGGTAGGTGTTCTGGTGGGAGTGAAGCCAGCAGGGAATGGGTTTGCCAAAGACGCTCCTCAGAGTGACCTGGGAACCGAAGGCCACCTCCAGTGGCTGGCCTTGGGTGATCCGAGCTAGTCCTCCCTAGGGCAAAAGCAAAGAGTCAGCAAGTGAGAGAGAGAAACAAACCCAAAGTAGCCTTCCTGACGGCCACTCCTCCGTCTGGGGTGATATTCGGGGCAGTGGCAGTTAGTGTTATATAGTTACGATTATCAGTCACATAATCATGTCACATTATGTCATACATCATCATCAGAGCTCCCTCCCTCCGAGTGAGCACTGCCTCGGGGTCCGGCCAGGCACTCGGCCAAGCCTACAGCTTGCACCCTCCCTCATTCCCACAAGCACCCTCTGTAAGACACACAGCAGCACTCCAGAGTGCCACAGATGTGAAGATGGCAAGTTTAGAAACGGGGTGGGTAGACCTGTGGCTCACTCTGGAAAGTGTGGTGCTGATAACATCAAGACCACGGGTTTGGATCCCATATAGGGATGGCCGGTTATCTCACTGCACCAAGTCAAGGGTTAAGATCCCCTTACCAGTCATCTTTAAAAAAAAAAAAAAGAAAGAAACGGGGTGGCTACAGGGGACGATCTCCAGAGCCATGAAGGCAAACTCTTGGGTCTGAATTACACTTGCCACACCTAACTGTGTGAACTAGGGCAAGTCACTTAACTCTTCTGAGTCTTTATTTTCCTTATTTGCAAAAGACTGACTTTGTAGGACCTCCGTGAATGTTAAAACATTATAGAAGCATGGGGCCTCAAACAGAAATGCCACTCAATAAATAGTATCTCTTTGTATTGTCCAGTCTAACTTTTCATCTGATTTAACTTCATCTGTTCATAAACCTGAGATGAAAGATCCTTTCTGAAAAGGATCCACTAATTTATGAGTCCATCTCAACTGGCCAAGGCCTGGGAAGTGGTGGAATGGGGAGACGTTTTTATTTAGTGACAAACTTGGTTGGAGATGGAGGTGCTCATGGTGGAAGTGTACCTTGGAGCACTGTCTGGGCAGCCCCCCATTTTTAAAAAATTGTATTTATTTATTTAGTTTTAAAATTTACTTATTATTATAATTCTTTTACATTCAAAAATGTCATTGTGGAGCAGTGGGAGGAGGAGCAGGGGATAGGAGGATGGAGGTCAGGGCTGGCCCACCACAGGATCCTTTACTGGCCTAGTTGCAGAGGGCAGGCGGCGGGGGCATGGCCGAGGCCCTCAGCACCCCCAACCCCAGCTTGGGGGCCATGAGCCTCTTTTACATGGCCACAATACCACTACTGATCACGTACAATCACCTAGTTCAGCCATGCCACAGCCATGAGGTCACCCTGGGAGCAGGTGACTTGCAGAGTCAAGTCTGGATGAACCAGATGCACTTCCTAGTGCAGCTGTTCAGTAAACTCAAGTGCTCTCCTGGGCCCCGCACTGAAACATAACAAAGACCAGTACTAGGTTCTTCCCTGAGGGATACCAAGAGTAGGCAGGGGCCCAGTTCTTACCGATAAGCATCAACAGAGCTGCTCCCATGGCGGCACAATGAGAAAAGTGGAGCTCTGACACTATCTGGTAGGCCATGGGGACCGATAAAGCCCCTGCGAGTGCAGGCAGCAGGCGCAAGGACCACACAGGCACATTGCTACTGTATTCTGGAAAAGCAACCACATGGCAGAGCTGAGAGCACTGTGCACACACTATCTTAATATGCTGCAAGTGTGTTTTCAAACAGAGTTTCGTGTTCATAGACTCTAACATGCAAATTTACAAAACTGGGGCCCCTTCAGCAACTGAGTATGCAAACTATGGGTAAAGGCTTTGAAATTAGTTTTACAGAGTCGAAGAACCAGCTCTCACTAAGCACAGGTATTATGACTAGGGATTCTGAGATTAATGTTTTACTTATTTATTAATTTACCCAGACTATTTCTAAAAACAGTGTTGCAACATACAAAATTTACATGGACAAAAAATAATAGCAATGCAATGCAATATATGTACTAAAAACTAGGAATAAAATAAGTACTGTAGGGCCGGCCTGATGGCGCACTCGGTAGAGTGCGGCGCTTGGGAGCACGGCAGCGCTCCAGCCAAGGGTTCGGATCCCATATAGAGACCGGTCCGCTCACTGGTTGAGCACGGTGTGGGTGCGACACTGAGGGTTGCGATCCCGTTGCCGGTCGCAGTACGGGCGCGACACCAAGGGTTGCGATCCCATTACCGGTCACGAAAAAAGACAAAAAAAAAGGAAAAAAAAATAAAATAAAATAAGTACTGTAACACTAAGATTTTTACCAGACTTTTCAAAAGTCTTTCATGTATACCCAGATAATTTATTACACCCTGAACTCAGATTAATAAACTGCAGTTGTTAATCCCTATGAAAGCCACTCTTTCTCCATTCCAACATGTGCACATTTTAATAGAGGAAATGAAAATTATCTTTTACCTGCTCCAATTCTGTTCCATAAAAAGTTACCATCAAATCCTCCTAAATACCCTAAAATAGAAGATTAATCAATAACCATCCCATTCAGCAAATATTTCTGGAGTCCTGTGGCAGGCAACAAGGAAACAAGATAAATTAATAATAAGACAAAGTTTCTGCCCTCAAGAAATTTCACTGGTAAGTTTTAAATGTATGTGACAGCCTGAAAGGCAATGGCCACTTCTCTTACTAATGAACCTTACCTCCTAAGGCCAGCAGCATGTGGCCAAATGGTGGTCCACTGTCATCCAAAAAGAAGATCCGTTTCATGTAAAAGGAGATGTATTGCCCATAATATACCTCATCAAAACTGAGAAAAAAACAACAAACCCAACATTATATTCAAGTAGAAACATTAACTGTAATCAAAAGTTGAGAGGATAAATGTACATGTGTTTCCAAATGTGTGAGCGAACAGCAAAGGTCAGATCTTTACTCCGACTGTATCCCATCCCCCAGTATCTATACGGCATCCTCCATGCATAGGGACAAGGTGGAAAATTCACCAAGAACAGTTGGCACTCAGGATGCTTGCCCCATACAGATTCTACTTCTCTGACTAGTTTTTGATGATTTAGGTGCGCACTACCAGCCAATCTACTGAAATACTCCATGGGAAGGGCTAACTGCCCTCCCCTGGGGACCACCAGCATGGGTCTGTGGCTACAAGTCGGAATCAGACCTGGTGACCCAAATAAACAGTTGTAGGTGGGAAAGGAAGACATGTAGGAATAATATGCAATAAAATGTTTTCAGACAATTGAGAAAATCCGATGATACCGAGGAACTGCTGTCAATTTCTTAGGTGTGATGCTATAGTGGTTATGTGATTTTTCTTTTTAAGAATCTTCATCTTGGGCCGGCCCAGTGGCGCACTGGAGAGTGCACCGCTTGGGAGCGCGGCGGCACTCCCGCCGAGGGTTCGGATCCCATGTGGAGACCGGTTCCCGCTCACTGGCTGAGCGCGGTGCGGGCGCAACACCAAGGGTTGCGATCCCGTTGCCGGTCAGTAAAAAAGGAAAAAAATTTCTTAGGTGTGATGCTATAGTGGTTATGTGATTTTTCTTTTTAAGAATCTTCATCTTGGGCCGGCCCAGTGGCGCACTGGAGAGTGCACCGCTTGGGAGCGCGGCGGCACTCCCGCCGAGGGTTCGGATCCCATGTGGAGACCGGTTCCCGCTCACTGGCTGAGCGTGGTGCGGGCGCAACACCAAGGGTTGCGATCCCGTTGCCGGTCAGTAAAAAAGGAAAAAAAAAAAAAAAAAAGAATCTTCATCTTTTAGAAATATATACTGAATTACTAATGAATGAAATATAATGTCTAGGATTTGTTCAAAGTAACCCAGTGCAGGGAGGGGGCTGGCTGTGAACTGATAATTTTATTTTTAATTTTTGGCAGCTGGCTGGTACAGGGATCTGAACCCTTCACCTTGGTGTTACCAGCACCATATTCTACCAAGTGAGCTAACTGGCCAGCCTGAACTGATAATTGTTGAAGCTAGGTGATGAATACTCTGGTGGTGGGGGATCATTATACTATTCTCCCTACTTTTGTACATGTTTGATGTTTTCTGTAATAAAAAGTTGAACAAAAAAGAACATATATATCTATCAGTTAATAAACAGCCCTTCAATAACAACAGCAATCATTTCCGGTTATGAAAAAATAACACACTGAGCTCTCTAAACAAGGAAGGCTCACTTCCAAGTCCATCAGTACTCTGCCTTCCAAATTTTAAAATGGTTACCTAAGGCTGGTAACCACATTTTCCTCTACAGCACCTGTTTTTAAGGGGCCAAGTTTTATTGGCTACAAACCTATGGGGCAACCAAAAGGGTGCATCCTGCAGGGACTGTCCTGAGGATAAACGGGTCTCTCCTCTCACTGCCAAAAACATCCATCACCAAGAACCCAAGAATTACACTCTCCCATTTATGCTGTTTAAAAAGGCACGTCCTGTCACAAATTATAATTTTTTCTGGATTCACCCCAGAAATGAAGTTGTTTGGCTTACACCACAGCCCGAGGATAGGTGAGTTGCCACAGTCGGCTCAGTAACCCCACCCCAGTCAGAGCCACAAGGTTCAAGTTGATGTCAGTTGTCACCACTACAGGGCGCTTCAAAAAGCCCAACATCTTGCACAAAAGCAGGCTTAGGGGGATGCCCTGGGAAGGAAGGAAAGAATTGTCATCAATAAGGGGAGGCAACCCTGAAGAGCTCACGAGAGGCTACACACAGGATTCCAAACCACCCTGGCCCCCAGCGCAGGGAGCATCCCTCCTGGAAGGTTCCTGCGCCTTCCGCACAAAGGCCGGGGTGCAGGCATTTGGGTAGGAGGAGGGGCACTAGCAGTCAACCCGGGGCGGTGGGGGGGTTCATGAACCTCAAGACTGGACATTCCCTCACTTCACCAGCTCATCCCACAAACGCCTGCCGGGCACCTCCTGGGCGCGAGGCCGCTGTTAACGCACGACGGGCGGTGCGACCGCGGCCCCCCGCGCCGGCCGCCCCTCCTCTCTTCCTGCGCCCCCTTTCTTGCCTGGAGGGTGGAGCACTGTCCCCGGACGCGCCATTCCCTGCCCGAGGCTGGCCTTCCCTGGAGCTTCTCTGGAGGCTGCGCGGGGCCTGCGGCGCCCCTTCCCGCCCCCGGGCCACACGTTCCCTGGACGGCCCCTCCGTGCCTCCGTGAGGTGTCCCGGAGCCCACTCCCGGCTCGGCCGTCCCGCGCTGACAGATCCTCCCGAGCCCCGGCTGGCTCTGATCCCCGGCGCCGCCCAAACGTACTCACGTTTCTCCGAGTGTCCGCAGAGCCGCAGCCCGCGCCCGGTCGTCCTGCTCGACGCTCGATTCGCCGCGCCTGCCGGGCCCGACAGGCAGCGGTGCGCGTGCGCGCCGGGCGAGGGCGCAGGCCGCGGGCAGTGGAGGCACGCGCACCTCGCGTCATCAACTAGGATCTGGGAGCGCTACGTACTCTGTGCGCATGCGTATCTCTTAAAACCCACGGCGGACTCGCGTGCGCGTTCTGCAGCTTGCTTTTCCGCGGCCTCTGCTGGCGGAGCGAGGGCGGAGGTCAGCCGAGGCCGCCGCCTCCCTTCCCGGGCTCCTCCGCCCAGCGTCCAGAGCCTTTCCCAGGGCCTGCCTTACAGCCCACACGTTTCCCCTGAACGATGGGCAACCGGAGGAGCAGGCGGCGGCAGCACGACCCAGAGGATGGGTCACTCTTCTCACCAGCCTCGCCCCTTCTCGATCCTGTAGTCTATTTGTATTTCATATACGTGGACGAAAACTATACTGCAGATTTGATAACCTGGATTATGGTTCTTATTAGGCCTCATGGCTGGCTTAACATCAGCACAGCCAGTTTAAGCAACTTTCCCCCTCCTCCCCCTCCCCTGGGAAGGGGTAAATATTACCTTTATCATCAAGGGAATGTCTTGTGGGCTGCGTCTAAGCAGGCTTGGGGCTGGAATGCTTGGTACTGAGAAAGTCGCTAATCAAGAGCCTGTGCCCTAACTGACCACAACGACTGTGTCACCTTGCAAACCACTGATTTCAAAATTGCCCATTACTCTGTAAGAACCCTCCCTCAAAGTCTTATAAGCCTCCTGAGTTCCTGAGTTCGGGGGAACTGATCTGGCTCAGTCTCCCCTCCACGTTAATGGAATAAAGCTTTTGACTGAAATGGTGCCTAGCTCAGGTCTCTCTCTCCCTTTTCTCCGTCTTGCCGAACCCTAACAGTTCTTCACTGTTAGCGAGGGTTATTTTTTGCACGGTGGCCAATCCAGCATTAGATGACACCAGTTAAGAACACAGAAACTTCGTTCTTGGCTTACCCACAGGCAGAGAGGGTTCCATGGGCCCCAGGAGAAAGTGGGGCTGGGCTCTGAGCTTTGATCATATAAGCAGTGGTAATGCTCCAGGATTCAGAGCCTCTGTCCTGAGGGCACTCAACCTCAGGAATGGCTCCTTCAGGGCCAAGCTCCTTGGGAAGGTCTGTGAGTCACCTGTCCCTTGGGGCAGTGGGTGTGGCTGTCAGAGCTGAGAGATGCCCATGCCCAGGCCCCTGATTCCCTTCCATAGTCAAGAGGCTCAGAAGAAATCTGAGGAACTGGGGTTCCTCATGGAAAGTGTCACACTTTCTTGTGGGTAATTTCTAAGGTTTTTGCCCAGTTCTAGGCACTATGCTAGATACTACCAGTGACCTCCTTGAATCCACACTACCCCAAGATGTGTACACCATTACAATCCATGTTTTACAGTTAAGGAAATTGTGCCTGAGTGGTGAAATGTCTTTCCCAAAGTCACACAGCTAGGTGATGGCAGAACCAAGAAGTACTGCCTGAACCCCAATCTAAACTCTTCACTGCCCCAGGCCTGGCTTGTTCCTTTCCCCAACAAAAGTGCAGCAAAATCCTCTCCCACTTCCTGCAAAAGGTCTGCTAGAAGTGCCAACACGACATGCCACACCAAATGCTTGGCCTCTGACCAACCCACTTCTCATCGGAAGTGGGGGGAGGGCAGGCAGGTACCCCGCACACCCACGAGGCCATCCACAGGAAATAGGGTGAGGACCACCATATGCTGCCACATTTTGAAGATACACCTTAACCACAGGTTTTAATCCCTTCTCTGTATTGCTTTCAGTTAAGGCATTCCAGCCAAGCCACTCCTAATTTCCGTGTAAATTACATTTAAAAAATTAGAATTCTTCCATCTGTAGGTCTCTCCAGTCAACTGACTGAGAAAAGAGGGACACACAAGCTGAGAAAGCATGTTCAGTTTTATTATTATTTTTTTTTTACTTTTTTAAAATTTAAATAAGGAGAATTCTTTCATACGGAAAGAGCTAGTACAATCACATATTTGAAAGGAGAAACAACAGGTGCTAGACCGGAGGGAACGGGCGCAGGGTGAGAGTGCCGGCACTGGCCTGGGGAATCCATGATTCCATTTCCCATCCAAGGTCAAAGTTTCCCAAAAATAATGTATAAACAAACTGCACATTAATCAATCACCTTTAGCCATCGTCTGCCCTTTCAAATATCTGGTCTACATGAAAAGACAAAGAGAGGAAAGGCCAAAATAAAAAAAAAAGGAAACAAAAGTACAACCCTCTCAAGAACAAAACAAAAACCTCCAAATCCTTTTCACTATGCAAGGCATGAGGTCAAAAGCTTTTAAGTACAGTGTCCTCTTTAAACAATTGAAGAGCATCGTCCACACAGAGCCTTCATGGGCATTTCCGCTCTGAGGCTGTGTAACATGCTGAAGACAGGACCCTGGGACACTGCCATCTTAGAGGCCACCAAACTGGGGTGGAGAAATGGTGAACAGCAGGTCTCATATGCCAGGAAGGTCACCAGTCAAATGTATTGGTGGCCTGGTGGGGAGCATGGCTAGATGACTGACAGTGTCTGTCCCCAACACCGAGCCACTCCAATCCTGGATGACCTACTTGTCTTAGGCCCATCTCACATTCAGAGGAGAGCTGGCTTTCTGGATGTCTGCATTTCCCATTCATCATAGAACTTGACAAAGCACATACCCCCTAGTATCCTTGGTTGTCAAAGGCCGTTTCCAACAGACCCTCCAACCAGGATTGCTCTGCAGTAAGAGAAAAGGGACAAATAAAGACTTGAGAGGCAACATGCAGCTACTTGGCAGAGGGGGATCAAACAGCAGAGAAAGGGGGCTTTTCCAGACTTGCCACATGCTGCCTCTTTGGGCCAGTTCACGACACGGCTGTGCACCCACGTGCACACTCAGCCTCCTCAACTCTGAGCAACAGTCACAAATTTCAGCACTGACCATCCAGAAGGCAGATCCAGAAGACAGGAGGGCGATGGCCAATATTTAACAAAATACCCCAATGTTCCTAGAAGTGGCTGAAATGACCAGGGCTTTAGAATGGAGCCAATTTTCCCAAATGTGTAATAAAGTCATTTGTTTCTCTCCTTAAGGAACCTAGAGCTAGAAGTGTTCTATGAAGTTTGAAAACATTAATAATGTGAATAAAAAAGGGGAAACGAACGGTAAGAAAACCAGACCAAATGCAGCTGGCAGAGAAATCTTCAGTGGGTAGACGACACATTCCAGACACACCCCACTCTGTATTTCACTCCACTGAGCAGCTGGCAGTGGACAAATGCTACTGCAAGGTCACTGGCTGCTGAGCAACGGGTTGCACCATCGATGGCCCAGGCACAGCGACCAGCACCAGGAGGGCAACTTGAGCAGGCAACAGTGGGAGGATTCTGGTCCCACCACCCCCACCCACCACAGCAGCAGAGACGGTAAGCACTGGTCTTCACTGTTCCTGCCAAAAGCCCTGTGGCATCTCGGCGCTCTGAGGATGGGGGTTTGAAACCAAAATAAGACCCTAAGTCCTATTACCTTGAGCTTGGCTCTAAAATCACACGAAAGGAAGAGAAATATTGCACCTTAAAAATGTCTCTGCACTAAAAACTGCATTTAATCAGACCAAAGAAGGGGCTGGGGTATCAGAAGGCCTGAGGCCTGCCCTCTGCCCCGTAGGATCTAATTTAAAATCTGCCGAAGCTTAGGTCACACACAGGTGTGAATACACTGAACTTCACATGCAATTTCCTGGCCTTTCCTGCACAGAATTATTCAGACATTATATATAAATAGAGCAGTGAAAGTTTACTTTTTTTTTTTCCACCTAGACCTACAACATCAATACATATAAATAAATTCTAGTGTTTTTTGTTTTTATTTGGGGTGAGAGGAAGGGGGAAATATGGGGTAAGAGAAAAGGGCTGGAGAACAGGTGACCTTTTGTTTGTATTTTTTTCAAAGAAGTATGGTCATTTTGATGGCAGGTTCACCTGAAGGATAAATCTTGAGTTTGTAACACCATCCAGGACTATTCTGTCCAATTTCAAATGAGAAGACCTTTTTCTTTTGACAAATAACGTGCACCGGCATTAGGTGTGGGTGTGCAGGCAGAAACAAAGGCGTGTGGCTCCAGCAGGCTCAGGACTCCTCCAGGGACACTGGCAGTGGGCTGGGCGGGGGCAGAGTGCTCCTCATGGGGCCAGCGAGCAGAGGCTTGCAGGCAAAGAGCAGGAAAAAACAGGTGAGGGACACAGGCAGATGAGGGCCGGGGACGCCGTGGGGGGGCAGCCCTTGAGAAGGGACTGCAGTAGAGACTCGGGGATGAAGGAAGGACATGCTGGCAAGAAATAAGGTCTGAGGGTGGAGGCAAGAAGGGGAGTTGCTGAAAGCAGTAAAGCATCTCAGTAAAACTGCCCCTTTCCAGATGGCACTGGGGAGGACACGGGGCACTGTTTACTGGGAAGCTGAATCCCACTTCCATAAAACGGTGAGGAGCAACAAGAAGTTTCTTCAGCAGTTCCTAAGACGCTTTTTCCCCTGTGCTCTATTCTAGAAACAAAGCTTAGAACCCAGAGCCCGAGCGGCTGTGACACAACCACAGTGACCGTGAGGGCTGACTGTGTGTGGGGTGCATCCCACCCTCCTACTTACTGCATGTTCTCTGAGCCAGGTCTCCATTGGAACCACCAGCAGTGGCAGGCAGCAACTCCTACAGGTAGAAGGCTGGTTAGTGACCCTACCCCTCCCCTTTCCTTGGCATAACATAATCTGGGATGATTTCCTTCTATTTCTTACTTAAAAACAAGGCCAGCATATAATGGTTCCCAAAAATATTTTACTAAAGGTGGCTCTGCAGACTTAAGACACTGTCCTTTCTCTGTAGGCTGCCCAGGCTGCTTTAGAAAGACAGGCAGCCCTGCAACCCACTCTCACCTGGGACACTGCCCTGGAGGCCTGCAAAGACGACTGAGACTGACCCCTGCTGCTTGGTTAGCTCATGTCCCTCCATCCCAGCAACCTGAGTCTGCTGCTGAGAGTGAAGAGGAAGAGCAAAAGGAAAAACCCTATGGGCACTATGTAGGGACCACTTGCCCTTGCTATAGACTTGATCAAACAAATGTCCACATACTCCTGTCACTGTGGTTTAGTGATGAGTGGCATGAGAGGTGGAGACAGAGGTCTAGAGGAGAGACAGGAGGCTCCAGCAGAGGAAAGGAAAATGACAGATTACGGAAGCCTTCGAGGAAGGGAAGTGAGCGGGAACACATAGCAGCCCGAGGGGCAGGGGTGGAGCCCAGAAGCAGAGCAGACCAATGGGGCCTGTGGTGGTCACCTTGGCCACACAGCCAATCTGGAAAACGCCAATGACTCTGTCTCTGTGATTCACCCCTGGTGTTCAGCAGTCAGCGAATTCACTGGCTTTAGGAAAGCCCAGGACAGAAATTTTGTGTAATTCTTACGCCAAAGCATGACCAACTTCACGGGGCTGCCCACAGGCCAGGGGCTGGACCTGACCAGGACAACAAGTTGCCTGCTGCTCTGCTGGCCCCACCAATTCCAAAGCAGGAGCTGAACCCCAGACTGCACATTCCTTTTTGCAAATAGCCTCAAAGGTTAACCATCTGAGAGGGAGCAGGAGGAGATGCACTCTTAAGAGTCTTCTCTTAAGGTATTGCAGTGACAAACCAAATTAAACAGGACAGAGCTTAAAGGAAACTGCAGGAGACAGAAGAGGGGTAAGGGAGAGGATGGTGAAGACCGAAGAAAAGTCCTGCTATACAGACGTAGCTTGCGTTTTTGTTTTCCTTTCCCCTTTGTAAAAACCTTAGCTGCTTTTTAAAACAAAAAGTCTCAAACTAAAAGAACCCTGCTGCCAAACCACTGTGCCTGGGGATGCGGAGGCTGGGCCGGAAGCACTGCAGAGAAGGCTCCCCGGCTGCGAGGAGGACAGGGTGGCGCCAGGCAAATCTGGACTGCACAGAGGCCGAGTCACACCACAGTCATGTTGGGAAGGAGAAGAGGAGAATGAAGGAGTCGTTTGTTTTGTTTGTTCCATATCAAAGCAAGCAGGTCAATGCCATATATCCACAGTGCAAGCTGGTTGACAATGGAGCTTTCAGGAGTGGAGGAGAGAAAAGAGATCTCTCGGTCAGAGCCAGGTGGTGGATCTGGTGAGGTTCCCTTGATTGGCTGGCAAGGCCAAGTGGTGGCACCTGCCCCATCGGGGCAAGGTGAGGTGGCAGCTGGACACTTTCAGGCCTTACTCTCCTCCACTTTGATCGCCCGAGGCTTGATTGCGCCTGTTCGTTTCACCTGGGAGGCGGCCGAGGGGGACTCCTGCAGCTTCACGGCTCCCAGGCTGGGTTTTTCATCCACTCGCTGTTTTGCCTTTGGACAGATGAACGGAAAACACAAAGTGACCCCAACGCAGAAACACCTGTTTGGATGCACAGTTCCCACCACTTCCTTCCTGCTCCCGAGTCGCACAGAAAAGCTATGTATGCTAAGCAGTCCGTTTCTGGGCTGAAGGACCAGAACTAGAAGGCCCTCTCCTACTAAGAACGTGGTGTGGGACTACTCTATCCCCCCCCACCACCACCACCACCACGGGCACTGAGTGCAGTGATTCAGAGAGGCAGGGAAACGCCAGTCTTCCACAAAGAGCTCAGTGAGGACACATCTTGGGCAGAGGCATTCCTGGCCCCAAGGCTACTGGACCTTTTCCAATCAGTGCACCTACGCCCCACAGGCACAACAGCCCCTTCACATAGATCCAAGTGCCCTGGATCACAAAGATCCAGCCCCTTCACGTGGATCCTACAAGTCCTGGAGCCCCCAGTTGTATGCCAAGGGGTGGGTTGGGCCCTCTAGGAGGACATGATTCTCCTAGATCTTTGATCATGATTCAGTCAAGACTCTCCCCCGACCCCCAACTTCGTAAAACCCTTTCTCCAGGACTCTAGTTTGACCTCGAGATTCCCTATCAGGGTTCCACTAGTCTGCAGCTCTGAAATGAAATGTGTCACAGGGCGGCCAGCCAGACCACTGTCCCCACACAGTGGTCTGAACTCTGGAAGAAAGCTTTAGAAGCTCATTCCATACAACTCAAGCAGTGACCCCAGGGGAACCAAGTATGGAGGAGTGAATTGAGAGCGAAGGCCCTCCCACAACCACCAGCCAGTAATGCTGATTTTATTAACAACCCAGGCCTGAGGGGCCTGTACTCTGGAGCCCTCGCACAGGTTTTAGGTGGTAGCAAAGAAAATAGTGCCTGTAGGAAAAGACACTGAGAGATCCTTTTTACTATAAAATGGGAAAACTTAATTCCACCTGTGAGCCCACCCAGCCCAGACAAAGACGAGACACACCACCTACTAGAGCTAGCACACGCACACACACACACCCCAGCTTCTACAGCTAACCCGCAGACCTAATCAAGCCTCCCAGAGCGCCTTCACAGCCCCAAATGGCTAGGGGATGGTACACCTTCTGGCGTCACCTCCTCAGAGGAATCAGTATCCTTCCTTCTTTGCAGGACAAGGAAGGATCCAGACGCCCATCAAGAGGAGAAATGCCTTCGCCAGGAGGAACTCGGGCTGCCCGGCTCCTGGTACCATGCTCTAACCGCTAGGGCATGTCTCTCTTTAGAAAAGGAGCAAATAGGTTGGAAAGTCCCTTCTCTTTTGGCGCTTGGAGACGGGCCTAACTGGCCAGGGCTGGAGGGTCTGGAAAGCCATCTTCTACCTGTTGAACGTAGTGTCCCTGCACAGAGCCCATGTTAACTGCTGATCCAGAGGGCTTCCCACTGGGGCTAGCAGAGCTAGGCCTGAAAAAACCAAAGGCAGGGGTTGAGAATACACACGTGTCACCACAGAAACGGAGTCAAAGCCTAGCACACGGAGGAGGAGGCACGAGGAAGGAAGGGCCCTTGGGCCAGAGGCACTCGCTCTGGGCAGTCCGTAGAGCTCTCGGATGGAAAAAACCATAGACCTAAGATAGCCAAGAATGCAGAAGGGGGAAGAGGGTAGTTTTCACTTCAAACATAGCACCTCCAAGACAGAGCTCACGGAGATGCGCCCAGAGGAGAGGAGAGGAGAGGCTGAGGCCCACACACAGGCAGACACTTCTGTCCTACTATCTCTCAGGGTTTGGAGGGTCTGGACCAACATGATGCAGAGCCCCAGACAGAAGGTCTATGAGCCCAGTGCTAAGCCAGACGCTGCTGAGGACTTTTCCAGTCTTTACTTTTAGAAAGGGGGAGGGGGGAGAAGAGGCAGGGAACAAAAATGTACAACATCCTCCTAAATGTGTTCTATTGGCCGCTGGTTCCCAGAGATGTTAATTAGGTGCTACTCCATGAAAAATAAGGCTTTGTCGCCCAAAAGCATAAGTGCTGCGTGCACGAAGTCGAACAGCACCCCTGTCTGTGGGGCTGCTTCAACTCTGCGCTGGTGAGTGTTGGCACACCACTCCCCAACGAGCTGTCTCAGACACAGCACACCCCCGAGTATCTGACCAGGGAACCGTTTTTTGCAGGGCATGTCGTAGCAGCCCTGTTTCCAGAAAACTTTGGGAAACACTGCTCTATAAAACGACTCCAATTTCCCCAACCTCCCTAAAATTCCATCAAAACAAAAGCTAGTAATTAAGGCTTATAGTTCTAAATATTCTCCAAAGAGTAAAACTGCTGCCACTGCTACAATTGAACAGACACAGGAGACTCTTGTTATGTGAGCTTCCATGTTCTGGACTTGGCCTCTGGGGAAGGCCCTGCAGCTGGATGCTGCGGGAACGTGCCTCCGATTGCAGGGGAGCTGCCACATTTATTCACACTCAAAGCGTCCTTCTTCCTCCCGAATCCTACTCATTGTTTCGATACAATTCTGCTGTTTTGGCCTATGTGAGAGATATGGTAGGAAAACAAAACATACTAACAAACAAAAATAAACGAAGCCAAGAGAGTGAAAATAAGAAGAGAAAATATGATGAAATGGGGAAAAACTCACAAAAATCCCTCTCTCTGGAAATGAAGTTAGAAGTGTGGAATGACATGCTAGAGGAAGAGCCTGACACACGAAAAGCATCAGTGGGGCAGTGACTACAGCAAGAGTGGCTCATGGGCAGCGGGGCTCCCACTTGTAAGCGCTCTTCAAACAAGCAAGCACCCACATGTTCATGGGGTGACCTGGAAGCACCTAGAGCGCTGCAGGTCACATATGTCTGTTCAGTTCATTTGCAGACACAAAGTATCTCCAAGAATCTCCCACACGTAACAGAGTCAACGGCACAAGCCCTCAGGGCCCAGAGCCAGCGCAGGCTCCCCACCCCTGCACAGGTGAAAGGCAGCTGAACCAGAGCCTCTCCACCATGCTCCAATGGAGCCGCCTCTGAGTCCCACTAACGGAAGTTGGGACAGCTACCAGAGGCAGAGACAGAAACAGAGGAAGCAAAAAGAGGGGACCGGCTTGCAGTGTGGAAGGAAGGGCTCCAAGAGCCCAACAATAAAAGTACCCTGGCAGGAGTCAGAGGGCAAGCTCAGGTGAAAGAGACCCTGGGAAAGGCCATTGTCCTCCCCTGGCCAGGTGTGGCTTTCTCAGCCAGTGGGTCCTGTTTCTAAAATCTGGTGAGAAAGTGGTGAATAGTCAAGGTGGGTCCTGACATACATGAAAACATTAATTAGCCGCCCCTTTTCTACCTTTTCAGAAAGCTCTCCAAATCCAGAGCACCTTAGTATGATTAAAAACAAAACCACTCTTCCGATTCTCCTTTTCCCATGATTTACTAAAACACGAGCGTGTTCCAGAACTGAAGCTTCATGGTTACACATTGGCCTACAAAGAGGACTGGGCCTGGGGCTCCTCAACCACTCCCCCAGGGCCCACAGCTGCTTCCAAGCCACTGGATCACAGCTAAGGTGAATGCTTGTCTATGTGGCATCCAACCCCCAGGGCGCGTCTTTACCTGTAGGTTTGTGGCGATGGTACAGAACCTCCTGTAGGAACATTCTGTTTACTGTCAGCAAAGTGGAAGCCTTTCATCTCCATCTGAGAGGACTGAAGAGACCAAGCAGCAACAAGTTGTCATTTGACGGCCCTGGAGATAGCCTAGCCTTCAGTGAACCACCCCGGGCAGATCTGATGGGGACCCATGAGAACTTCCAGAGAAGAGTCTCCTAGAGCAATCTGCAACCCCTCCTCTCCAACCCAAGCTCAAAAGAGGACTTTTTCTTAGAAGCAGGAACCATTGCAACATTTTTGTTCTGTTCTCTCCAACTCAGGCTCAAGAGGGCTTTTTTCTAAGTGGGGTGGGAGAGCTAGCTGGGCACAACCACACGGGCTGGCCAAGCTGTGAAGGTTTGCCTCTACTCCAGAGGTCATCCCCTCAGAACCCCCGGGGATGGCTGGTGAGACCCACTCAATCACAATCTCTGGAACCTGCATCTCCAAGGTCCCACATGTGTTTCCTTGGCTGTCTTGACCCTTAGCAGCAACCGCATGCACCTTCCTGTCTGACCTGGCATTCCTTGCCCAAGCTTGTTCACTTTCCCAGTTTACATATCAACCAAGCAGTTCCTGACCTCTGAGACTGCGAGGACTTTGCAGCATGGGAAAGAGGTGGTCTGGTGAGGTGAGGAGCCCACAACCCATGCCAGTGGCATTTTCTACCACACAGAAGGTCTTAACTACCTAGGAAGGGCTGGCAAGACACGGCTCCATGCCCAGATCACAGGCAGATGGGCTCATCTTTACCTCTCTGCTGGTGTTCAGGATTGGCGGCTGGGACCCAGGTGGAGGAATCCTTCGGGGGGCTCCGACAGAAAGGCTCTGCCCCGGTGGCAGCTGAATGGACTGTGGCAGGATCAGCGGCTGCTGCCCAGAGCCATACCGAGGCAGTGGCATGGTCAGCTGCTAGACAACAGGGACAGACAGGAGGAGGAAGGGGTGTTGAGGAGAAAGCCTCAAACACGCATGTGAGGGCAACTGCATGACAAACTTCAGATTTCTATTTCAGAGAATCAAAGGTAGGCCCAGGTGCAGCAGCAAAGACTCCAGACTTCCACTGCAGCACAGCAGAGACGTCCCTAGATCTTACACACTTGACGGCAGGGGCAAGTCCTCCCGCAGGAATGTGGTAAGTGGTGAAGAGATAAGGGCGAAACCAAGAGGCAGGGGTTAAGGTGAGAAGGCAGTGGTGCACACATGAGTCCCCCCTACATGTCTTTGGCCGCTTCGGCCTCCACCCAGCAGGTACTCACTGAAAGCACACAAGAGGCTGGCAGCAGGACACCGGCAGATGCAGGCAAGGGTGATGACGGGGCAGCACGAGCAGCTCGGAGACAGCTGCTGGGTGCTCAGAGTGGCACAGAGCCTGTGTGTTGTGTGTGAGTGTGCATGCATGTGCCAGGCAGGGTGGGCAAGGAGAGGATGAGTGAGAGTCAGGAAGGCTGCTTAGGAAGAGATGGCCACCAAGCCACAGAGAGAGGACAGTGGCACAGGAAGTGCGCCTGCCTTCTTCCGTGCAGCACAGACACACAAGGATTCTGCTGCTGTGCAATACGGTAGTGGAAACTGAGACCCAACTGGACTCTGAGACTCAGTGTCTTTGGAAGCATGTTCTGGCAGAAGAGCGGGCGCACTGCAAGGCCTGAGTGGCCACTTCTGCAGCCCAGAATGAGAAGGTGAGGGGTGGACACTCAGGACAGGGACCGGGGGGGGGGGGGGGGGGGGGGGGGGGGGGGGGGGG